GATTATTTTCTTTTCATTAAATGTAATTATTTTATTCAATTCATTAGATATAAATTATAAGGATAGGATAAGGCTGAAGATGCTTACAATCTAAGTGAAAAGCATCCGAAATAAACTAATAAACAGTTGGAACTAAAGGCTTCATTGATATTCAACCTTTGATGGTGTTATTTTGTTGTGTCTGAAGATGACAGCTTGTAGAAGAACTTAATTGTTTATCGCTTTAAGGCGGATCTGATAACCCCTTAAATGTAAAAGGAGCGCTAATAGATTTTTTGGAGGATAAACTTTAATCCCGATTTCATCCTCAATATAATTTGCTCTTCTTTACCCGCATATCATACAAAAATACAAAACTGTCTAAAAATAACCTGTAACTCTTATTAACCTTGCAAATAGGCAGGTATTGAGTACCTGTTACGAGTCATCAAATTTGACGTTGGAACATTATCGGTAATTTTTCCCTAAGAATAAGGAAATCAAAGGTAAAAGAAACTTTATTGGATTGAAAAAAACAACATCGACGAATATTGTCACGAAAAAGAAAATAATTTCAAATATGACATCGTAACTTTTTAAGCCGAAATAAAATGTTCGGATAATTCAAGTACTAACATAAAAAAGATGTTTTGGGCCGAGGGCGGACGTTTACTTGTTTCAGGTTTAGGATACGGACTTGGGTAAACGATCCCGAAGGAGGGAAACTTCAATCGGAATCGATACGGGAAGGGACAGAAGATTTATCCGTTGACTTTTATCCTGTCCAGTTTTCGGCCATCTTTCGTCGTAAAACAATCGGGTATTTTGTAGAAATGTACGGGACAATTCTGGTAAACTATGTTCCTGGTTTCTTTTTTATATTAGAGCGTTTTACCTTATTTAATAAAATATCCAAAATAGGTTTTTATTTTGACGAAATGGGATGCCAACTCATTGTCCCCAAGTCTCTTGGTGAATCAGCTCTTCAGTTTCGAGTGGTGCTGAAAAGACTAAATAACCACTATACGGAAGAAAACTACTCTTTCACTTTGCATTTGCAATAATATTTTACAAATACAAACTACGTACGGGCGCAGCAGCGAGGATAATTATATCGAAGATAGTAAGAAAAGAAAAAATTAGGTATTTCTATGTGGTCTGCAATATGAAATTAAATGTTGTTCTATAATTTCCCGTAATGAACAATAAGACCAAATTACAAAAAGTGAAACGATGAAAATAGGGGGAAATTATATTATGCGGATACGGTCCTCGGAGTTATGACCGATCCGAAAGATGGGAGAAGGTGAAATTTAGGTCTGATAGAAAACAGCGAAGTTAGGCGGACCAGAAACGACCCAACTACAAGCCACAAATTTATTTCAGCCTTTATTATTTAAAACTCCACTTTTATGTAGTATCGCTTGCGGTAGTCCCTCAGGGTGGCGTCCTCGGCCGGTATTCATTCTATCCTGTAACTCCCACCACGTCATCTCTCTCTCTCCCCACACGCACGCACGCACGCACGCACGCACGCACGCACACACACGCGCACGCGCACACACACACACACACACACACACACACACACACACACACACACACACACACACACACACATCATTCCATTGAACAATGGTTCAGAAAATGGCGGATCAAGCTAATTACCAAATTACCACTAAATCCCAAAACATAACCTTCACCTTCCGTTGCATCATCCTAACTCCAATTTAAACTTTCAGTCCTTCCCATCGGAAACGTCCCCGCTACCTAGGGATGTACCTAGACGAACGACTTACCTGGAATCCCACGATACACGACTCGAAAGGATATAACTGAACTGAGGGTAACGATTACATGAAATACACACAAGACAACAGACCTAACCTCTCCCTTGACAATATAATGCCCATTTACATACATTTCAATACAAAAACCAATGAGGACATATGACATAGGACCATGGGGGTTCAACCAGACCTTCTAATCTCCGGAGAATTCAGACCTTCCATCACGAATCCTTAGTTCCATCGTCAATGTCCCCTTCTGTGCCTCTAAACACCATCATAACCACCTAAATGTTGTGTTTTTAAATGAAGTTGCAAAATCCATGTACAAAATATTCCACACTAACCTTCAAACACTCTAATCCCTACGTAAAACTACTTTCCTCCTGGTATTTTCTCAACCATCCTCGATGTCTAAAATGGCAATGGCCCCTTGACCTGCTCTAATGGAATGCGAGTGATTGAATGATGATTTGTAATTTAAGAGGTGATAGCTTCTCTACTCGATGTTTTGAAGGATTGAAGATTCCGCCGAGGACAAAGCTAAATTTTGATTTACACTAATTAAGGTTTTTAGTTGAGATAAAAAAGTCAGTGTTACGAGCTGGATTTTCCCTCCTTTTTGCCATTTTTCAAATAACAAAAGGTGGGGTTGAGATGGGAAGTTAGTGCCTGAGTGAAGTCACGATAGCTCAAGTGGTAGAGTAGCGGCGTATCAAGCCGAAGGTCGTGGGTTCGAATCCCGCTTGTGACACTGACTTTTTTATCTCAACTAAAAACCTCAATTAATTGAATGATATTATTTGGTCAAGCGGACCACGAAAACTAGTGAATTGATTTAAACTTTGGAGAATTTATGAAGTAAGACATAATTCTGGAGATTTGAAGAATGTTTTCGGTATTATCCTCGTTTCATCTAGGTTACTAACTATCCGTTTACAAGTTCATTTGGTCGAAATGTTAAAGAAAGTCAGTGCAGCAACAAAAAAGAATCACTATTCAGATTTCAGAATGACCTCGAAGTACTCCTGTGTTGTTGGTCAGGGTCAAACCTGTCATAATGTCCTATCAAGTATAGGTTAAGGAACTAATAGGTTTCATCACGTTTCACCCGAATAATCCACACTTTAAATTTTGTCGTCAATAATTGGTCTTTCACATACTCAAATAATACAAACATACAATAGGTTTTAAACTGTATTGTGAAAAACCAGTGTTGTTAATAGTCCGGAGTCAAACCTAGGTCAGGTCGGTCCTGCTCATCAAAGTTCAATATCTTTCGGCTTCTTATGTAATTTCAGCATGATGCAGTTTTAACCTAAACTACACGTACGACATTCTTAACAGAAGACATATCAACTAGCCTATTATTAGTATTCAACTAGGACAATGGAGTACTCTATATTACTTATATATTAGTATTAATTCTTTTTTATGTAAGGTCTTGATTGAGATGAAGATCACGATCGGGATTCGAACCCAAGACCAATACGCCGTTGCTGTAACTATTGTACTTGAGCTATCGTGACTTTGATCACCACCTCCCCATCTCAACATACAACTTTTCGCATTTTCCCTCTCTCCATTTTTTAAATGTCGTGTAATCAGATTCTTAGCGATATATGCAAATGGCTGTTTGTGAAGTGATTCTTCTTTACTTATTAAATATTAATCCATTTATGTTTTGTGGTCTAATTGACCACATTTTATTTCAATTAATTGTTCTTTTTTATATAAGGTCTTGTTTGAGATGAAAAATGGTATGGTGTCTTGTATCTCAGGAGTTTTGGCAGTCAGAAAAAGAAAGAGTGGAAGGTAGAGTGCGGTTTCAATTGGAGTAGTAGCAGGTATATTGTTCTAGAAGTAAAGATTTCTGCAAAATGATAATTTTTTATCGCCTCTGATTTTGATGATGTTTGCGGTTAGAAGTATAATTCACATTTGAATTTCAAAGAGACCGATGAAAATTGTAGTTAAGAAATGCGTGGTGTTTAGTGACAGTTAATGATTATTGGGAGATCGTGAGATTCGGTCTGGTGTGACGTAGGTTGAGAAAACCAATTTCTTTTTCGTGTCAACGTTTTGACTTTAATTGATTCTGAAGATGTTCTCAATAAAGATCGAAACGTTGGCACGATAAAGAAAACGTTTTTCTAAAACCTACGGCACACCACGCATCTCACGATCTCCAAATATTGTGGTTAAGACGGTCCCACCAAAACCAGTAAATTTAAAAATTCGTTGACCACGACAATGAAAACTCCAACTCAATGACGTCGTAGGTACATGTAGCATTTGGTACTTTGGACTGTTGAGGTTTGACAAACTACTCTACGATGACAACCTTAGAGAAAATAACATACTTAGTACTAGATGGTCTTAAAATAGGCTGAAAGCTTGGCATATAAAATTTTGTGTTTTCATTAACTTGACTATACTGAGATCTAGGTTAGTTATTGTAAAAAGAGGTAAAATTCGAAAGGTTGTAGGATGAGATGGGGATTTGGTGTTGGAGTGGATCGAAGTCACAATAGCTCAAGTGATTAGCGCAGCGACATATTGGGCCGTCGGCCGAGGGTTCGAATCCCGCTCGTGACCCTAGCTTTTTCATCTAAACCAAGACTTTAAATTAAAAAGAATTAATACTAATATACTAAGTTAAAATAAAGGGATTAAAATTAGCAAGTTAACTTTTATTACTTATAATTATTATCTATTATGAAAATAATCGATACTGGATAGTCTCTTCAATTGTAATTAGAATAAAGTCTTGTAACTTCAGTACTTTACAAAAAATGTTATTCGAAAGTTGAATTTCAGTCCTACGAAGATCCAGATCGTACATAAGTTCCCGCCAATTTCTGTTTTTGAGTTAGGGGAATAAAAAGACCTTTTTTTACGACTAAATATTAGGTAAATGGGGAGAGTTAATAGAGCAATGGGATGTTAGCGTTGCTTCGTATCGGTTTATAATAAAAAAGAAAGTTTCTTAATACATAAATTTAAACAAAAATTACAAAGAAAAAATTCCTTCATCGCTAGTCATTAAACCGATAATAAATTTTAAAAGTTTTTCTGTTATTTTATTTAGAGGGATAGTAAGTAATAACTAAAGTAGGGTTCGCTGATTAAAACGTTTATTACGTCCGTTTTATTGGTAGAAGCACGCTTGAGGTGAAGGAATTGCTGTGAGCATTGCTACGAGCAACCCCCACCGGGTGGCACTCGGGTCATTTTCGCCACCGACAACCCTCATTCCGACCCGAGTCGGCCCTGGAGACGGTACCACCCGCACCACCGCCCGCCACGAGAACACGCGAAATACGTGGAATTTTTTTCCTTTTTGCGCGTGTGACGACCTTGTGTTATGAGAGTCCTGTGATTTATTTATTCCTGCCGTTCGAAGGACGAAAATGACTGATTCGGTGTGCGCCTCGCCGGCGCGGAGCATCAACCACGACTCGATGGACTCAGGGTCCGAGTGCGAAGGAGGAAGCGTCCTTCTCACCGAGGTGCCCGGCGACCCTGATCAGACCATTCTCACCGGCTACCTTAAATTCAGGGACTACAAGAGGGTGAGAAGTTATTTCCCCACATTGAAAAAACCCCAAAAAACATAATAATAATAAAAATAACTAAACATCCCCTTCGCTCTTATAACAGCAATTGCAATTATAATAAAAAAAATTACTATTTAGAGATCGTGAGATGCGGTCTGGTTTTACGTAGGAAAAACATTTTCTTTATCTTGCCAACGTTTCGATCTTTAATGCGATCATCTTCAGGGCTCAAAGTGTTTGTTTTCTGTGTAAATGAGCCATTAATGTGTGTCGTGTTGAGAGTGCGCTTAAACTTCTGGGCACTCTCAACACAACACATTCATGACACATCTCGACAGAAAACAAACACTTTGAGCTCTGAAGATGATCGCGATAAGGATCGAAACGTTGGCACGATAAAGAAAATGTTTTTCTTAACCTACGTCACACCAGACCGCATATCACAATCTCTAAATAATCATTAATTAACGATTACTAAATACAACGAAAAATTACGATTGTCGTGTTCTGAACCCTAAGGATTACACAACAGTTGTAAGAGTAACAAATCTTGTAACTAATGTTTTCAAACCTTATTAATGCGGCTAATTTCCAAGAAACAACACTTATTATTTTAATCATAATAATGAACATGCAGTGAGATTCCTTTTTGACATCAGTGGCGTGATGAACCTGAAGTCTTCTCCGGTCATTTCTAGCCATTCCTTTGTCATTTCTTTGGTCTATCATAATGTCCAACCAACCATAGATTCTCTAACCAATAGGTTTGATCACTTTTCAGCTGAACAATCCACATTGTTAGTATAGTGTTTGGTGCAAAATTGACAAATACAGCAGTATTCGTGTGGAATTTTAAATAGAGGTAGATGTATTAGTCGGAGTCTAATATACTGCGTCCGTTAAGAGCTATTGTATCCCCCGTTCTGTTCCTATAGCACACCGGTGAATATGAATAGAGTCCTATTTCATCAAGGAACTTGATTAACAGGCCCGATTTTATTAGTTTTAGTATTTTTTCTACAATCACAGCGTAAATCCCAAAACACTTCCTTCAGCGGGCAGTTGTAGAACCGCACTTTGTTAGTAGGTGTGTTGGTGTCTCCTCTGCCTCTTTGCAGAATCTGCATGTGTCGTCTGGGATTATTCCAATCTTATTTAAGTGTCTATTAAATTTGCAGTGTCCTGTTAAGAATCCTGTTAGGATTCGCAGTTTTTTCCTGCTTCTTTTGATACATTCTATCACTTCTTTCCTTCCGAAATTTTGTTAGGAGGTTCTTGGATTTTAAATAAGTCTATTTAATTTGCAGTGTCCTGTTAGGATTCGCGGTTTTTTCCTGCTTCTTTTGATACATTCTTTTACTCTTTTCCTTCCGAAATTTGTTAGGAAATTCTTGGATTTTAAATAAGTATGACATGCAGTTTTTATAATTTAGCCCATTGGAAAACGTGTAGTCCTACTCGATCTTCCTGATCTGCATATCCTGGCTGGTTTGTTATTAATGGAGGCCATCTTCATTGCAATTCATGCAGAACCTTGTTTGACAGACCAAAAACAGCGCGGATAGGCCGATCAGGAAGATCGAATAGGACTAAACATTTTCCAATGTCCTAAATTATATAAACTTCATATATTATCTCTATTTTATTTAAACCAAAAAAATAAATTTTGAGACTTCTTTGCATACCCTGCGAGGTGATGACCTCGTAATTTGGCCAACAGCGTTTGAATGATTGATTCAGAATAATGTAGGGTTGACGTATGCCCTGATTTCAATTGAGAATTCCATTTCAAAGTGTAAAACGCTTAACATTTTTGTGTTTTTGAATGATATTTTCGGTCGTTTTCTAGATTCGGCTTAACTAATGCAATTAGTTATATTTTTACATTAAGTTTTTATTTTTACCTTTAGTCGCAAGCAATTTTGGTCTTTTACGATCTTCGTTTCACCATCACGCAGTCATCAAGAATCATGTTAACAAAAATATGTAACAAAGAAAAGATAAGATGTAGATAACAATAGATTACATTTCATTAGGGTTATTTGAGGGCAAGAGAAGACACCTAAAAATTAGAACCTTTTCCATTATAAATCAAAATTCTACGTCAATGAAAAAAAAAATTCAATTCTTGAATTCATCCAATGTTATTTGGATTATTTTTTGGTTTTTTTAACCTGCCCATCCCACGAGCTTTAAATCATTAATGGTTTTCAATTTGGGTTTCGGGGTTATAAAAATTTAATCTTTATGTTTAAAAAAATAAACCTAGGAATAAATCAAATATTAAACTATCAATATTAACATCGGGCTAGAATTTATAATTAAACACTGTCATAAATTGTAAATATATGGCACAACAGACTACTGGAAAAGTTTTTAGTGTTTAATGTTAATGAAGTTTTGGAATGTAATGCAAAATATCAACCAAAAATGCGTAGTCAAAATAGTAAAGTGATGGTGGTGTCAGTCTTATTAAAAAGTTTAATTTTCAGTTCACTGTAATCAAAGTAATGACAGTTCGTTTTCATTTCTTCATTTTTACCCAATTTCATTTGTTCCATTTTACCCTGTATCGTTAATGTGAACCTACATGTTTACATTACGCTCAGCCGTGGTTTCTTCCCTGAGTGCTGACATAGAAATTTCATTTATCCTCTTTTATTATTGCGAACTATTGACGTGCAATAAACGTCGGCTTGTCGGAAATTGTCCTTCGATTTATCCTTAGTGTGGTCGATGAAATTAGTTTCGTGTCGATCCACTTCGAAACAGGGATGACACGAAACCAGATATTTTTCTCGGAAAATAAAAACCACTTGGCCGGTTATTCAGTTTTTCACCCCCGGAGTCTGCCTTATATTTTATTCAAAACCATGAATAATTTTTTAAAGGATGAAGCCTTTTCCAACGCGTCTCATCGGCATAACTATTGAAACAAGTATGAGTATAATAAACTTAATATTTATTAAATCCATTCTATTTCGTCCGATTGACCAAATAACATCTTTCAATTAATTAATCTTTATGTAAGGTATTGGTTGAAATGAAAAAGTTAGTGTCACGAGCAGGATTCGAACCCACGTCCTTCTGCTCAATACGCGGCTGCCCTAACAACTTGAGCTATCGTGACTTCACTGAAGTGGTTAGGGCAGCCGCGTATTGAGCCGAAGGTCGTGGGTTCGAATCCTGCTTGTGACACCAACTTTTTCATTTCAACCCATACCTTACATAAAAATTAACTAATATTTATTTATTTAGAAATCGTGAGATGCGATCTGGTGTGATGTAGGTTTCAGAAAAACATTTTCTTTATCGTGGCAACGTTTCGATCTTTATTGAGATCATCTTCAGGGCCTGGGATTTACAAGCATTGAATTTATAAAGTGAATTTATACAATGACTTTTCACTTTTCCACATCAAAAATGTAATTGTTATATGTAAACAACGTTTGTAAATCCCAGGCCCTGAAGATGATCTCAATAAAGATCGAAACGTTGCCACGATAAAGAAAATGTTTTTCTGAAACCTACATCACACCAGACCGCATCTCACGATTTCTAAATAAATATCGATTAACGGTCACTAATCACCACACACTAATATTTATTGTTAGAAATTTAAACGAAAGCTGTAATTTAAATTTATTTTTCGTTTTTGATGGCGCAAAAACTACAAGCGGCTTCAAATGTAACAAAGAATGAAAAACGTGGATCTATTCTGCACGACCAACCAATTTCTTTGTTTTCGATAAATTCAGTGATTTTTAACATTGTTTTCACAGCTATTATTATAATGCTATTTCAGTGTTGTTATACACATAAAAACTATTAGGAGAAGATTAATTAAATGCTAAATTGATGTTGTTACGTTGTTGTAAGTATGTCGAGTTTGCCAGATTCGAACCCGGGACCAATGGCTGTATACTAGTTCAAGGCAAAAAAAAAAAAAAAAAAACCGGGACCTTTACCTTACAGTGAAAATGTGTGGTGATTAGAGACCGTTAATCGATGATTATTCGAAAATCGTGAGATGCCGTCTGGTGTGATGTAGGTTTCAGAAAAACATTTTTTCTATCGTGCCAACGTTTCGATCTTTCTTGAGATCATCTTCAGGGCTCAAAGTGTTTGTTTTCTGCGTAATTATGCCATTCTTGCGTGTCGTGTTGAGAGGGTCATCGATATTATTATAATGATATTTGAGTTTGGTTATAAAATATATATATTTTTATAAAACAATAAGGTGAAGATTAATTAAATGCTAAATTTAAAATATTAAAGGGTTGTCATAGGTTAAAGTTTGAAATGATAGCAAATGTTTTCTAGATGTCTAGGACAACCGCACTTCTCGGATATTAAAAAAGTAAATTCTAATATTAAATATCTTCAATCTGTCATGGAATGTTCCGGCAACAGCTGGGACAAGTTAACTTTTTGATGAGATAACTTAACGGCGTTTCGTTTAACGTCGTCGGAGAGAGTTTTAATAACTTGTACATCACTTCGACAACGGCAAAACACACTTTGGAATGCCATACATTAGCGCTGAATTGATTTTGCCCGTTTAACTTAAACTCAGGTGATATAAATTGAGTTTCGATTTAATGGTCATGCATCGTCATGAGCGATTAGTACCATACCAGTTCCCTTGCCAAAAGCAGTTATGTTTGTTACAGAAATGAGACTTATTGTGACTTAATCCCAAAAATTATCGTAAACGTGTGGTGTTTAGTGACCGTTAGTTAACGATTATTTGGAGATCGTGAGATGCGGTCTGGTGTGACTTAGGTTTTAGAAAAATATTTTCTTTTATCGTGCCAACGTTTCGATCCCTATTGAAATCATCTTCAGCGCCTAGAGATCGGAACGTTGGCAGGATAAAGAAAATGTAGTTCTAAAACCTCCAGACCGCATCTCCAAATAATTCTTATCGTAAACGGTAACCCTACATGAACAGAAGATTTAACGGAACGATATCTGAAATAGCGTGCTTGTTAACGGATGACGGTAAAGAAAGC